AGAGGTCTTCACTGAGTACATGTGGGGTACTAGTGCTGCAGTAGCAGCTAGGCAGCCATAGCTGCCTTCTTCATCGTTAGAGTGACTCATCGGCAATGCAGACTACTTCGCTGTTCATGATTTGCATCTGGGTGTATGGCGTTGGCCTCTGGAAGGCTGTTACTGTGTAGCGCTAGACTCTGAGAGTGTAGTAGGATGTGGAGTGTGTGGTTCTTGAGTGGCGAGATACTAGGTTGAACTCTGTTACGATAATTGAGGTTAACTGTGTTGAGTTGGCTCATCATCTGGGTTACTTTCCAATTGTGATCTTCGCAGTGTCATCCTGTGATTGGTTGTTGGGAGTTCATTACAGAGAGAGAACACTGTGTGTATTCTCCCCATCTGTGCATGGTTGCTATTCCGCTGTTTACATCTGGTCTGTGTGCAGGTGGACTTTGTCTCTTCCTCCCCTTTGTCTCATGCATGTATGGGAGTGTGTGAGTTCTTCTGTGTGTGAGTGGCAATCAAATTGTCAAACAACCAAGTTCGTAACATTTGTTTGCAGTTGGTATCAGAGCGGATATTGGACTTGGAGTCCAGAGGGTTGAGCGCAACAGGGGCACCTTCTTCATATGGCACTAACTGGCGAGAAGATCCATGGTGGTTCTCCATCTCCAGTGACTATCCAGCAGGGAAGAAGGAATACAAGTGGTGTTTGCAGTATATCAGTTTGCGATTGATCAGGCACCCTGAGCCTGTCGGAGTGCCTGACAGGAAGTGGCGAGAATAGGGTTATTTCGCCATCCACCCTCCTGACCTCAGTTGATGATTGGGTCTAGGGTGGCGAAATTTCCCCTGATCCAGTGATTACTGGGTGGCGGCTTCAATCCCAGTGTAGCCCTGAGGGAGGATTGATCGTAGGATCACCTCCTGCTAAATTAACCCTACTCAGGGCTAAATTTAGCACCAGCGGCACATACCCTGTAGTGGCGAGATATCTTCAGGAGAGTTTTATCTCGCCACTCGGGCAGATTCAGTGGATCTGAGAGTTGGGGGTGAATCGCCTCATCATACTGGACATTATCAACAAGTTTCAGGAGATTCTATACGTGGGAAGCTCTGGAAGACTGTCTGCAAGTACTGGCGAGACCAGGGTTTGGCAGCCATAGCCAAAGCTTCATCGTGCACTGAGGGTTGTACTTCAAGTGAATTCGTTCCACATGAATCCCTGAGTAGCGATTAGTATAGCATTTAGTAAAGATAGGATTGACGGTCTGTCTGTCAGTACTGAAACAATCGTGAAATTGTCAGACTATCCATCTTCTTCCTCCCTACCGTGACTCATATCTCTTCATCTACTGACCTGTTCTGACTCCAAATTGTTCTGGGACTGCTTTACAGTATTGCGCTGCATCCTGTATGTTCATTCTGTGAATTCTGTACTGAAAAGACAGTGATACTGTGGATTTGAGTTTTGCTCTGAGTCTATTTATAGTCTAGGCTACCTAGGGTCAGTCACAACTCAAAATCTGACCGTCAGAATTCAAGTCTGTCAGTTTGGGGTGAATCGCAATTCTATTTTTAGCAACCCTGCTAAAGCGCTAGTCCAGAAACACTGTATTTGGGTCATTACAGTGCATTACTGAAATTCGCCATATCTGGGGTAATTTCTGTTGATGTAAACACTGGCAAAATTTGAGTTTGGGACTGTCAGGGAGTAGTATACTAAATCGCTACTAACTGTTCCTGTGTTTCAGTCAATTCTTGCCTACTCTTATCAATATTACTAATCCCTATTCTGCTTTCTGATGGGCTCTGGAATGATAGTGACCCCTGGAATGCTGTAGAACTGCATCTTGCAATTCCAGTGAAAGTTCAGTGTCAGGTATAGGAAATTATTAGCGAATGATTTTACTTGACATCCTGTCAGCCTTAGAGCTGACCCCAGTCGTCTTATTCCAACCCTAACCGCTTGTGCCCACTAACCCACATGGTCCTGTGAATTGACAGTGCAGCGAATTTGAAGAGTCTGTGTGTACTATAAATCGCTGCACCTCTTGCTGTTTCATTTTTGTTTTATTGTTGTTCTGTGAGGGAAAATGTCCGACGCAGCTGACACAGGTGCAGGGAAGGTTGAGGTCGTGATCAAGGTCGAAGGGGATCCCTCAGCCACAACACCTCCTCCTCCTTCCCTGACCTCTGCGCAGCGGCGCAAGAGAGAGATACAGGAGCAGCTGCGGCAGCAACAGGCGCTGCTCGCAGAAGCCAAAAGACAGGAGGCAGTAAAATTGGAGGCTGCAACAGATGCATCTCGCAAGGAGCACTTGCTGTAGCAGGCCGGGAAAGCCGTTGCTGATACGAGGGTGGCCCAGTGTACCATAGACCTGGCTGAGCTGGTACTATTGCAAGATAAGTTGACAACCAGTCATTTCACAAACTGGGATGAGCGGATCCAGAGACTGGAGACTCGTGTGGCTGATCTGGGAACTCAGCAGACAAAGATTCTGGACTCCATACAAAACTTGACTGCTCAGTTAACAGCAGCCAACATCATCAGTCCCCTGGTCCCTGTGGGACCCTCACCAAAGCCCAAACAGTCTTCCCCTCCTTCTCCACCTCCTGGCTCCTCCCATCAGAAGTCTTCTCCCTCAGTCACCTCCCAGGCCAAAGCTACACCTCCTCCCACCTTTGCTGCTGTTGTTGTTGGGGACTCACGAGGTCCCAAGATTCCTGCCCCCAGCAAATTCAAGGGGGTTGACCCCAAGATCGATGTGGGGGATTGGACAGCTGGAACCCGGGCCTATCTGAAAGGGTTCCAGTGCCCAGAGCAGCAAAAGGTGGCTACTGTTGTGGGTCTGCTGGAGGGGCCAGCCCATAAATGGGCTACCTCTACAGCAAGTGCCCAGCAGCAGACATTGGAGGACTGGGCATTGGCACAAGGGGCTGACAAACTTTTGCAGGCCCTGGAAGATCGCTCTGCAGACAAAGAGAGAGCACGCAAGGCTGCTGACCGGATCGTACGCCTGGGCCAGCAGCGATATAGCGGCAGTCTGCAGGCGCTGTTCACTGAGTTTGAACAACTGACTTTCACCCCTGGATTGGTTATGTTTGCAAACGATTTGTTGACTAACTTTTGCAGGGCTGTGCCTGAAAAGTTTTGTGTTGCTTTGTATAGCTCCGGGCGCAAAGACTGACGCTCATTTGGACGTGCAGCATTGGACATGGAAGCCAAGCTTCATGTCCAGGCCCCCTCCAGTGACAAGAGGAGAGGCACCTTCCCTCGCGGTGGTAGAAAGGGAAAGGCGGCCTTTACCTATGCGGGTTCTGGGACATCATCTGATGCACGATCCCGGCCTAGTACACCGCCAGGCGGGACTGCACCAGATGTTGTTCCAGATGTTGCAGCAGTTGTCCAGCAGCTGCAGGCTGCGCTGGGGGCCTTCCAAAAGGCCAGATCTGCCTCCAGCACAGCCTACAGCAGCGAGGGGAAGGGTCAGGGACGTCGCTCTTCAACCCCTGCCCGACGCCCTAATCTGCCACGCGACGTCCACTTCCCAGCAGACCCTCTGAACCCCAATACTCTCCCATGGCACGATCTGAAGATCCAGGAGGAAGTGTGGAGGAAGAGGAAGAAGAGAGGTGTCTGCTTGAGGTGTGAATGACAACACTTTTTGAAGGACTGTCCCTACGAGTATCGGTTGGTTATCAATGAACGTCGATTAAAGCATGTTCGTAGTGGAAATGTTTTGTATGTAGTGATGTATCTGGCCATAATGCGGGCAANCGAGTATCGGTTGGTTATCAATGAACGTCGATTAAAGCATGTTCGTAGTGGAAATGTTTTGTATGTAGTGATGTATCTGGCCATAATGCGGGCAAGTTACAGACAATTGTTGTGATGTGATGATACCCTATCGATCAATCGAGGTCGAAACCACCAAAGCCATGATAGGGCGTCGGTCCACTACTCACCACATGCAGAAAAAGGCAAAAATTATGGTGGTGTATGTTTCCATGTTCTAGCGGAAGATTGATTCTTATTTTTTTGCACAATTGGTCAGTAGTAGTGGAGCGAGGCTCATATGTACAGTAGAGCTTTTTCGAACGAGTCTGGCCGTGATTGTGACGAGATACATTTAGCATCCTTTACCTATGAGGATCCTGACCCGTATTAGGAACCGGACCAGTCTGAGTGTCAGGCTCTTGCTGCTTTCTTCTTTCACTTGAAAGAGCAAAAGCAAAACAAGTCTGATCTCATCCTGCTTCGGCCCCTGATCAACTATCGCAGGATCAAAGGGCTATTAGACTGTGGAGCCACTCGCAACTTCATGTCTCCCAGTGCAGTCCAAAAACTGCATCTGGGCATGAAAGTGGTGCAGCTGCAGCAACCGCTGCAGGTCCGCATAGGGGACTCCACTGTCCTAACTATCAGGGAGAAGGTTAGGGGCATCAATGTTACCTTCGACAACGCAGGAGAAGTCAGACACAGTCTGAACTTCTACATGTTCCCTGACCGACCCTTTGACCTTGTATTCTCTATGCAGTGGCTGAGAGCAGTCAACCCAAGGATCGACTGGCAGATCCCCAAGGTTGAATTGCCAAACAGCAAGGGGGTGTATCAGCCTTGCATGATTGCAGCTGATCACCACCCTCAGACTTCCTGCTTCTGCTTGAGAGCGAGAGAGTTATACGCTCTCTCTCGCCAGTATGACCATGAGCGTCTGTTTATAGCTCTGGTTAAGCAGACAGACGCTCCCTCTATTCCCTGTCCTCCTGAGATACAGCAGGTTGTGGACCAGTACGGTGATCTGATCCAGGAGCCCTTTGGGTTACCCAACCGGCCAACCAAGCATCAAATTGAGCTGCTGCCTGGAGCGGTCCCTCCCAAGGGTCGCATGTACAAGATGTCACCTGCTGAGCTCGAGGAGCTCAAGCGACAGCTTGAGACCCTGACCAGCAAGGGCTGGATCAGGCCCAACACTTCTGAATTCGGTGCCCCAGTCCTCTTTGTTCCAAAGGGGAGTGGCGAGTTTCGAATGTGCATCGACTACAGGGGTCTCAACAAAATCACTAGGAAGAGTACCGAGCCACTTCCTAGGATCGATGACCTTCTGGATATGGTCCAGGGCTGCACTATTTTCAGCAAAGTCGACCTCAAATCTGACTATCACCAGATTGAGATGGCAGAGGAGGACGTTCATAAGACGGCCTTCAAAACCAGGTATGGTACGTATGAGTATCTGGTGATGTCATTCGGACTTTGCAATGCACCTGGTATATTCCAGACTGAAATGCACCGCATATTCAGGCCGTACCTGGACAAGTTCATGGTTGTTTACCTGGATGACATCCTCGTATTCAGCAGGACTGTCAGGGAACATGCGGAGCACTTGGCTCTGATTGTTCAGGCATTGCGTGACAGCCAGTATAAGATCAACAGGGAAAAGTCCTCTTTTAGATTTCCCTCTGTTATCTACCTGGGTCACGTGATTTCTGGAGATGGGCTGGCGCCTGAAGCAGCCAAGATTGCTGCTATTCAGGATTGGCCACAGCCCCAGACAGTGAGAGATGTCCGGTCATTCTTGGGTCTGGCCTCCTACTACAGAAAGTTCGTCAGAAACTTTTCTGCAGTGGCTGCACCCCTGACTAACCTCACCAAGAAAGACACTCCCTTTCTTTGGTCCCTCCACTGTCAGCTGGCCTTTGCACGACTCAAATAAGCCTTGACTCGTGCACCTGTTCTGAAGTTGCCTGACCCCACTCTGTCATTGGTTCTCACCACTGACGCTAGTCAGTATGGCATTGGGGCGGTCCTTCAGCAGGATGATGGTAATGGTCTGAGACCTGTAGAGTTTACGAGTAAGAAGATCAAAACTCAAAAGCTTCAGGACTCTACCTACGAAAAAGAGTTTTATGCTCTTGTCAGTGCCCTGAAACATTGGAAGCACTTTCTCCTGGGCAGGCACTTCAAGATCTTTTCTGATCATTCCACCCTGCAGTGGTTGAAGTCCCAGGGAGAGTTGAATGACAAACTGGCACGCTACATTCAGTTCATTGATCTGTTTGACTTTGAACTGAAACATAAGAAGGGCTGCTACAACAAGGTAGCAGATGCCCTCTCTCGTAGGCCTGACTCTTTTGCGTTGATCTCCTCTACTCGCTCCTTTGGAGAGGGGGTCCGTCATACCATTGCTCGTTTGCTGCCTCAGGATCCGACTTATGGACCCATCGTCAGAAATCTGCAAGCAGATCCTAATTCTGAGCCTGACTATGCCTTGAGTTCAGATCTCCTGTACACCTACAGCAGAGGAGAGGAGCGCTTGTGCATCCCTAAGATCAGCAGTTGAGGACATTGCTGATGTCAGAGTATCACGATGCGCGTGGACACTTTGGGTTCTTAAAGTCATATGCAGCCGTATCGCAACGCTTCTTTCGGAAGGAGATGAGGAGTGATATGCTGCGCTATGTGGACACCTGTGAGCTTTGTCAAAGGAACAAGGTTCAGCGGAAACCTCCTTTGGGACTGCTTAAACCTCTGCCCATACCTGATGGTCCTGCACAGTCTGTATCTATTGATTTTACAGACCTGGGCAAGACCACCCCTCGTGGCATGCGTCAAGTAATAGTCTGCATAGACAGGTTCTCCAAATATGTCGAGTTCATCCCCTTGCCAGAGGTAGCCAGGGTACCGGCTGTGAGAGCAGCCTTTTCTGAGAGGTGGGTCACACACCATGGACTGCCCACTTCTATTGTGAGTGATCGAGACCCCAGATTCTGTAGCGATGAGTGACAGTCCTACTGCAAGGACTATCTGCACTCACGTCTGGACATGACTTCTGGTCGTCATCCTGAAGCCAATGGATTGGCTGAAGTGATGAACCAGGTCCTGCTCCAGCTGCTACGTCCTGTGATCTCTCCTGATCAACAGGACTGGGATCTCCACTTAGCGAGGGCACAACTCATGTATAACATGTTTGTCCGCTCCTCGACAGGGTTCAGTCCCTACCGGTTACATTGGGGACGTGAACCACGACAGCCTCTCGATGACATCATCGATAAGGCTAAGCCTGACCTTACCCCAGGCACTGCAGAGTTCGCCAGACGCGATCGTCTGGATGTGGAAAGAGTCAGGGCGAACTTGTTCAAGGCCCAAAAGGCCATGATTGAACAAGCCAACCGCCACCGGCGGCCTTCCCCCATCCGCATTGGTGACTATGTCTGGGTGACCAGTTCTGAGTTGTCGAGGGAGAAGGATATTTCTCCCAAGCTGTTGCCGCGCTACCTGGGTCCGTGGCAGGTCCTAGATAAAGTGGGCGCTGATCCCTTCGGTCCGTCGCATGTCATCGACGTCCCGCTGCATCTACGCACCTATCCGGTCTTCCATGCATCCAACCTGTTGCCTTTTACACCAGCTGATGCATTCCCTTACCGGCCTCCTCAATGGGACCCACCAATCCCTGGTAAGGGATATGATGTGGTGGCCATTCAGGACGAGTGGGGCACAGGCCCCGATCGGCAGTATCTTGTCAGGTTCGCTTTTCAGCCTCCTTTTGAGAACCGGTGGTTCTACAGGAGAGACCTGGTCAAGACAGCCAAGTCAGTTGTTTTGAGATACGAGGCGGCTCAAAAGGGTAATCTCCCTCGCCGATCTCCTCGTCTCCACCCTTAGCTCGGAAGTCCTCGTTCCCCGGGGGGGTAAGAATGTAATGACTTGCTGCTTGCTGTCGTATCTGTCTGCGGGGTTGTACACTACGGTGTGGTTTTGCCTGCTGAGTTTGCGGCATGTTTGTTACTGTGTGATTGCTGTGTTTTTTTTTGTGGTCGCACTAAGGGTTGTTCGTTGTTCTAAGAATAGAATAGAATTAACAGCGGTAGAGTTTGAGTGTTTGCAGGCCCTAAGGGGCACTGCGCCCTAAGTGCTGTAGGGCTGTTGTAGAGGTGGGGTAGGCCCTTAGGGCAACGGTACCGGTAGTAGTTTCGGTCCAGTAGGTTAGGCCGAAAACTATAKGTAGAGTAGGACCGATAGTTAGGGACTTTTGGTTTTTCATTTTTCGCGTGCAGCGTTCGGGGCCAACCAAGTTGTGCAGCGCTGAATGCCTACAG